AGTGTGTAGATAAACTAACACATTACTGCAACCATAGTCTTGGTCTGGTAGCATTTGGCACTGAAATTAGCCATGTAGCCACCATATCCCACAATCCTGTATGACCTGACCATTATCTTATCCCTTTCAGCTTACCATTAGCCTGTTACATGAACTCAGTTTCCAAATTTCCTTTTAGGGATGGATTCTTCTGATACTGCTAACGGCTTAATTAATGACCTGCCTGGATTGTTTCTGTATCGTAAAGACTGTCTGACCTTAAAGTGCGAACCTTAGCTCACGCTGTCGATCGGATAAAAGTAACCAACTTTCAACTTCAACTCACACATCATTGAGCCCACATTGCGCAAAACCCTGGATGCAGCTGGCCCCCTTAAAAGGAAGGAAATCTCCCATAAAAAGCTTGCACCACGGCCTAATGACCAAACCTGAGCTCAGACAAACTGTCGGAATACTTGAAGTAAAATGGCAATCATCCAAATTACAAATGTTCCTCCTGGCCCGGAGAGAAAGTCTCATAAGATACATCCCAGACATCTGCTCTACACTGTTGCCGAATTAACAAAGACCCATTCATCGGCTGACCCTCGCATTCCTGCAACTAGCGGTAGAAATGACTTCATGAACTTCAACACGGATGATTATTAAAGATAAGCAACATGATACAAAACTCTTCGCTTCTGTCTTCAGCATAGCCTCTGCGGTGAAGGATAAACTGAATATGATATGTAATTTTTAGACCAGCCGCATGCTTAGACTCTTTCGCAATTATTAAATTCAATGACTTCTCTTCCTCAACTCATCCAAAGACTTCATTAGCCTGTTCGACTCTATAGGATTCTTGAAACAACAGCTATAGGCAACCTATCATCATCCTATCATCTGGACATGTACCTCAGTACTTAAAAGCAGAAGTTATCAAGCCCTTTCTCAATAGGCCCAATCTCGTTCAAAATGGCTAATCACATTGCAGGTCTATCTGTAACCTCCTGTTCCTCTTGAAGACCTTAGAAAAATCTGGAACAAAGCAACTGTTCATTTTTGCTTTCTATAAATATCCTGGAAGCTACTCAATATGATTTAGACCTCATCATAGCATTGAAATCACTCTACCTACAGTGCTTCATGATATATTCCTCTCCTTTGTCAATGACTGTATTTATTTGCTTGAGCTAGATTTAATTGCAGCCGTTAGTACTATTGATCGTCTTATTCAATGTTATGTTGGCTTAGGCAGACAGGTTCTCTACTGGTTCAGGTATTCAGAATGCTCTTTATTTGCCTATATATAAACTGAGTCCTCCAATTGCTTTAATATAAGAGGTGGAATACCACAAGGGTCTATGCTTGTACCTCTTCTCTTATCATCATACATGCTACCTCTTAGCAATATCATCCATAAACATAGCATTAAGTTCAAGTTAAGTTATGAAGATGATACTCACTTGTACATATCAGCCAGACCTGATATCTTTTTGCAACTGTCAAACATGGAAGCCTGCCTCAAAGGTATAACGAAACAGATAAATTGTTACTAAATAAAATTCCTGCTAAATTGAACCAAAACGTAGCTGCTGGTTGTTGACCCAAAGTCCATCAGGAGATGAGGGACATTAATTGATGTTGATGCATTTGACTTCACCGCTGCGGTCTTGAACTCTTGCACTCTTAAGAACACTCCTCTCCTCATTTCCTACTTCTCTCTTTTAATCCTATTGCTTCAACCGTCCACTAACAATGTTTTTATTTTGTTTCCTCTCCCTGCCCTGGGCTCCCACCTGGAGCTATAGCTCAAGCACCAACAACTTGACCTCTGATTCAGCTGTCCAGCCATTTATGCGCTCCTTATGACAAGAACCGGAACCTCCCATCAGCTAATACTGTAGTCATTGATTATATTAAATTTACCCTGTTTGTAACTTCATTGAATGTCCGGTGACAGCCTCATACAGATGGTAGTTTTTCCTTGCCACTTTCGCCCTTGGCTTTTTCTTCTTGGGAAGGAAGTATGGGATCTATGCAAAGCGGCGGCAGCTGGTGAACTCAAAACAGTGGAGGAACAAACTTTACCTATATACCTATCATTACGTCCAACCTTTTCCCATTTATCCTCCTTGATTAACAATAAAACAAGTAACTAATGGAGTAATCAACACCGATTGATGTAATTAGATCAAAAACGTCCTTGGATATAACAAACATAACACAAGTTTGCAAAGAAGACCAATTCTATTAAAAATGAATTTGGTAGCTATTTACTCCATTTTCATCAGCTGGCGTTGACTTGTTAATCAAGGGGGATAAATGGGAACAGGTCGAAGGTGATGATAGGTTTGAAGGTAAGGCTTGTTCCTCCCCCGTTTTGAGCTCACCAGCCTCCAGTGATGTAAAGCAACTTCATTATACAAACAAAATTGAATTGAACTGAACTGAAGGTTGTACACTGCGTGCTCCATCCAGCGTCAGCTCCTCCGTATTAGGTAGATTGGCCTAATTAACCATTTCATTACCTCGGGCTCATTGATGCACCTTTCAGAGTACAATATAACCACTGTATTCACTAAGCCCGACGAGGATCCTGGAATTAACTGTCCCTCTCGACCTTCTCAGGAGTATGAGCAATTCCAAAACCGCATGCAGATCGACTGAGGAGGACGGAGCCTGTTACCATAGCGATGTGAGATGGGACTTCCACTTCTCTATAGTAACCAGATTGGTTCTGTCATCTCCTCTTCCCTAGGCTCACTTCGGATGAAAACTGCAATAGCAGCTGAGAACAGGCTTCCAGAAAATGTTTCCAGGCAAAAAATATTTGACTGACACTCAGCGATGTTCTGTGAGACCACACAGACCATGTCAAAAGAACAGTCTCTGGTCTGTTTCCATGTCTCATCATGTTAGAATGTGGGAGGAACACACAACAGGCCGTGCCAAAGATGTCATGATGAATTGTGTCACCAATTATCAGCTACTGTGCTGGAGTGATTGAGTCCGATATCTTTAACGTATAGGCTGTATTTAAGTTTCTGAAAGAGGAAGTGAGTGAATGCATCAGAAAAAAGCCAGCTCTGGACTCTTGAATTCAAGTTGAATCTTGTAGACTACAGCAGCTATCAGCAGGTATTCTAAAAACAAGATACCTCCTGATGTAAAAGACAGATGTAACCCTCATCGTTAAGAATGAGGAATTGACCATTTAGTCACATCCTGTGATGGAACCTCCTTTCATTTTCCAAAATCCTCTGTATGACATCATCATCTGGTGACATCCTTTCTGAGAGTAGTCATGGCAGATTCTATAGACATACCAGATACTCTGCTCCGTATTCCCACTAAATATAGAGCTCCCTATGAAAACATCATAAGATGAAAATTCATGAAGAGGTATGACTTTACACTATTAGAGAGAATGAGAATTTATTTTCAGAAATGCTATTATAGAACAGTATTTTAGAGAAATAGTAAGCTGGCTAAAAAAATCAGATAATGTTAACCAAAAGATTTACGCTTGTGTACTAGATGACAAATTAATGAAGCCCTGAACAGTAATTATGTGAAGTTTGTCTTAAAATTCCTCAATACTATCTTGAAATTTTGTCAAATATATATTTTAATTTGGACTTGATTTTTCAATTATTACTGAAGTAACTGAAATTATTACATTTAAAAGCTCAGGGCTCTCTTGTATCACCGATACAAAAGATGAGCACTAAGATGAAAATTTGATAAGTTTGACATATCTCTCCTACCATAATTCAAGCAAGTAGGTGTTCTGCTGAAAAGCAAGGTTTTGCAAGGTGTGATTCAATAAAAATAATAGTGCCTACCTCCCGCCTACCCCTGCAGGCTATGGAACACACAGGTCATAGGTATTGTAGCCGTCAGCCATCAGTACGTGTTTGGTGGTTGTGTTTCTCTACCTTCTGAGAAACTAGCTAGGGCAACAATATTTAAAGTCTCCAAAACTATTATACAGTGGATACTCTGGCCTGAGATTTCCAATACGATGGACAATACAAGCACACACACACACACACACACACACACACACACACACACACACACACACACACACACACACACACACACACACACACACACACACACTCATGAACACTCAATTTTTATTGGGAAAATGGCTAATTCCATACTGGTAGAACAACGATACAACTTAGGAATCAATTCACATTCTCAAATACATATCATGGATTATAATAGTATTTTCATGGCATGAACAGAATCTGGCAATGTTCAGTTTTTATACTATATGACCCCAGAAGTTACGTTGCGCACACTCTGTATACATGTTGTTACATGTCCCACAGAGTTAGGTAATAGCCAAGGAGCATGCTCCCTAGACCGTAACAAGCAAAGAGCCACTACAAAGCTCTGCAGTGAATTCCAGAAATGTATTATTGGAAGCACTTTACAGAGGAGCAGTAGTGTAGGAAACATGCAAACAAAAAGAAAATCCTAACTAAACCCTGCAGAAGACAACAAATAAATCTGACTAACTATCATCACTGGAAAATAACAAAGTTCAGTCTTCCGCAGCCTAACTTATCTATAGCACCATACGTTTTCAAACCGAAAATAATCGAAAACAAAGACATTTCAGGCTTTTACTCAAAACAAGAAATAGACACTCACGCCTACATACCTGTCTGTCTCGCGGTGACACTGAAGGGAGGGAAAATTACATCCACGATGTGTGTACCTTCAACTAAACCACTGGTCCAGACCTCCCTGTCAGAAATGCAGTGATGCCTCCAGTGACAAGCTCAGAATAGATGGCAGATCAGTATGATGGGAACGGACAGGAGTAATGAGGAAGTAGGATCTCCTCTGTGACCGCCCCAGCCCCACCAAGTCCCACGCCTGCTTATACAACCCATGATTCCAAATATACAACGCCACACTTCCTCATTCACCTTGGTGTGATACTGGCCACCACATGCTACATGTGAGGTTAAACCAGATTGGCCTTCCAGTCTTCAGGTAGCAGTGTAGCGTAATGGTTAAGGTGCTGGCTTTGCAATGCAGGGGTCATGAGTTCAATTCTCAGAGTGAATGATGCTGTTGTATGTTTGAGCTGGGTCCTTAATCGTGCAACAAACCTTACTTAAACTGAATTGCTTAAGTGAAACAACTGGATAATATGAAGAAATACAAACTCTGCAAGTTGCTCTGGGTAAGATTGTCTTCAAAAATGAAGTTCCAGAAGAACCTGGTTCATTTCACCAAATTTGGATTTACGTAGGAGGTGGGTAACCAAGTGCTCTCCCCTACAAATTACTTCCAAAGGTCAACCTCATTTTTCTTATGAACTTTAAAGTTCACCCTGTCATTATGCTTGTCAAATAATAGCGAGGGAGGTCCTTGGTGGGTGCACTCGGCTAATGAGAAAATAATGGGTGAGATGATGTAGCCCAAATTTCCTGAATCTAACTCTGAGGGTGCCCATGGCAGACAGGGGTCCACAGGGTGACACAAAATGACTTTAGTGTTATCTGGAGAGGGATTTTCCAGCTGAAAGGATGGCTTTATTGTTCAACAGAGACTCTTCTGCTTAATAGACTTGAGTGGTATGCCTGCTCTAGCTGCATGACAAATTTGTTCTTCAAGAACAGTAGAAGCGCAATTTTGCTGGTAGGCCACACCATCATCATCATCATCATCATCATCAATGCTATATAATGCAATAGCATAACAGAGGAAGAAGATAACAATCTTTGACTGACCACATGGAAGGACAAAGAAATACTCCCTCAAAAATATTTTCCGTCATCGCCTGCAGAAGCTTGTGTACAGTGGCTTAAAACATTTACACATATGTAGCTGACTGATCATGTTTCCTTACGATGTTGAATACACGGTTTTAAAAGATCTCTGCTTTCCTTTGCCTTTGATGCAACAGGACAGAGGTGGTTACCATGGCGACATTCCGTTCCAAGACAAGCACAGAAAAAAAAATGAGAAAAAAGCAGGAGTGATGAGAGAAGGATTCACAATGGTGAGGTACACAAAGGGCTGGCTTGTTTTATGTAAAGAGGTTTGAAATGAGGAAAACAGACGGTCTGTAATGATATCTTCAGTGAATTGCTCTTACTGGAAATCAATTTATCTCTATGCGGGAGTCTGCCCAGGTCTATGGGATTGACAGCGGAAAGTGAACTTGAAAGAACTTTTACATTAGGTATTGCTCTTCTGATTTAATAATTTATACCTAATCAAATCAGACGTTATCATGTTTCAGTGTCTGCTAAGCGCTTTACAATTGGCGTTGCAATATTTTCTGCTCCAATCACTGTCATAAAAACAGTTAGCTTTAACAGAATTTTACACACTTGGGGCCAAATTTATCAAAGCCTTTAGCTCATGTTAAACATTTTGTACATGCAATTTCAGTGACATGATTTATGATTGGAGCAAACAAACTACACCAACCAATCACATCCTCTTGTAAATGCATTTGTAAATTGAGCCTCTAAGATATTTTTTCCTGATTAACCCCAGTTATATTTTTCAGGCTCATTTCTCAAATAAATTTAAAGAGGGCATTGAACTCATAAGTATAAAATAATATTGTTTTTTTGAGTTGGATGGTAGAGGCATCAACTGATCTCGTAGAATCATTTTATCTGAATGTCTTTGGAAGGTCACAATTTCCTCTTCAATCTTCTACCCAGAATGCAACGGGTCGGTCCGTCCTTAAAGTGTCATCCTTCATGCAATTCTTCAGCGGCACATGTATGTTGAATCAATACAGAACAGAGCATGCTCGAGCAAACGTTTGGCAAAAACAATTGCGCTCTCTCAAATTGCTTTTTTCATTTATCCCCGGCTTTTTTATCGTCCTACTGCATGGAATGGGATAAGGGGGATTTTTATAAAAACCATCAGGCTACACAATCTGATGTGCCTGTAAAAAATTAAATATAGATTCATATCTCATATTGGCAGAGGCTATTGCTCCAGGCCCTGTCATAGATCTCCGGTCGCCGAGGTGACTTTGTGCCTTTAAATGGTATCGCGTTAGTCCATGCTTTTAGGTTCTGTCCTCTGCTCTGTCTGGCCTCCACAGAGAAGGTAATTGATCCTTGACCAGTGACTCCAAAAACTTCTTTTAGCGAGAGAGGTTGAACAGGGCCATTGGAATGAATATGAAAAATTCATTAGATTTATCATCATTGACGTTAATAGCAGTCAGATTTAGTGCTTCAGAAGTTACAAGCATGCAAAAACATTTCAATTAAATATTTCAACATATAGCAGCCTGCATTTTAATAAGTAGTGGGTAACAGAAAATGTATCTCAGTAGTTTAGTTGTCCACGGGCTTAGATGATATACAATATGGAAAATATTATTTGTTGTGTGTTTCAGCTACGTGTATGCGATCATCCACTCTCCTAAAGCAGTGTTCGGGCAGAACCGAGAAAGTAAATACATTCGAGATAATTACATCAAAAATGAAGCACTTTTCATTCAATAACTAGGTAATGCTTTTAAAATACATGCGGTCTGGGCAGGAAGCGATATGTCTCTATGGAAACAGCAGTGCCTCAGGGGGCTTGTTAAAATGAGGGCGCGCAGAGACGCGGTTCAGCCACCATTTTTAATATAGAGCCAGGATACAAACAAATCCTATATAATGACCCAATACTAAAATCACCTCAGTGATCCTCATCATCGTGGACCCTGAAGGCACATATCTTTTAGATTATAACCTGAGACTTTGTAAGAATTGCTGTGATCAGCATCCTATTGCATCCAACCACACATTTATCGCATATTACTATTCTCTTGTATATTAGGTGTGAACTGTCATTACTCACTGTTTCAAGTACAAATGAATTATGGGTAAGGCTGACAGTGACAAATGGACCGCTAAATTGAGTAGAACCTCAGAACCATGAATGTACTGAGAAAAAAAGGACATCGCTCTAGAGCATATAGTATTTCGTTATTCAGTTCTAAATTGTCGAAGATCAAAAAGCATAGTATTCTAACACAAATTTAATACATGGTTGCTGTGATAAATGGTCATGAAGGTCCCCCATTCATATTTACATAAAAATGTCATTAAAGTAATTAAAACCTGCCATCGCTCATGGGATTTAGTGCCGGGCGCCCAAAAAAGGAAACGCGAGATTACGCGCAGATTTTCCATCACTCGCATTACGTGGCGAGTGTGTCGTTTTCCCACCTGGTATACATGCGATGTACTTCTGTTTGATTATGCATTGGGGCTGTCCTCAGCGGAACCCACATTGTTATCGAGCAGGACGAATGCTGGGGAAGTGCTCTCGGACCCATCTCCTCTGGGAGCTGAGTGGAAGCCGCGGTTATCTCCCGAGCCATCAGCCATAAATGCAAATGACCCAGATGGCCCAAGCAGAGTTACTTAAAATCCCATTTGAAGGGGCCCCTGGAAGCTCTGCATGTTGTTGCCGAATCGTGGGGACGTGGAAGCCGTGACCTGCCGTTACAGGACCACAGGCAGGACACGTCCTGATTTGGCAGCTTCTGGGGCCGAAATCCGACCCCTCTTTTTATCCTCCGTATATGAAATGGGAGGAAAATTCATGCACTTTTGTCATCACAATATACCCACAGGCATTAGTTATGCCAAAATAACAAAACAAAATTTGTTGAAAATATTGTGAAGTGTATCTTACCCACCGTTAGTTACTGACTGTCTTTATAGTGAGCTGTCTGTATGGAAGCCGTCTAAACCTTAACTCTGAACATCATCTCTTCCACCTCACTGTACCCTCAAACATGACTATTCTCATGGTACCTTTTGAAAGTAGTTAAGGTTATCACACATATTGGGTGGCAACTATATCGGCCGTGGCTATGGTTACTTGTTTATTACCTCAGCAGTTCTGTCTTACTGAACGTATTTTTGTAAGTCACTCTGGATAAGAGCATCTGCTAATCGCCTACATATAAATGTAAATGTGAAAAGATTCAAATGTTTATGACACATAAACAGCAATAAAATGGAGAGATCATTTGAATATTAAAATTGACGCAATAAAACTGGTTAGTCAAATCCTCTGTGGGTCAACACCGTTCCACTTGGAGTTAAACCAAGGAGATTCACTTCACTGTGTTCAGGCCTAAAAATACAGTTCAGATTTTTCAATGGATCCTTCAACTGTAGGCGAAACATTCACCGATTGGAAAGTAAGAACGCTTTTTGCAAATATGATCCTTTTGCATGCCAAACAAATCATGCATTCATTATGACGAGGTTCCGCAAATAATTAAATTTACAAAACACTTAAAAATGCAGCTTGTTGTTTTCAAGATTGATTAATTGATTTGTTTGAATATGGCAAGGCCAGATACGCTGATGTAAATAATTGGGTTTGTCTGTAGTGAATTATTTCTAAACATGATTTACATTTTCTTTGCTTTTAACAAGCTCTAATTAAAATCATAATATTTAACACGTTCTACAAATCCTACAGACATTGAAATATTTCCACAAGAAATGCACTTGTTGACATAAAAAAGATAGTCAGTAACGCTGTTTGACTTTGTTTTTCTATGTTATTGCTATTTTGGTTTTGTTCAGTTGTTTTCGAGTTGTTTTGTTTTTTTCGCTCCCCGTCCTTGTGCTTTTGTTTTTGTCACCCCGCCCTCCTTGTTACCTGCCTTGCTGTTGTTGATTTGTTACACCTGCAGGTCGTTTGCTCATTAGTCTTGTGCTTTTATACCGTTTGTCTTTCTGTTAGCTGCAAGTTTGTCTCAGTGTCTAGTTGCCTGTTTTGCTACAAGCCCTTTGTCTGTTCTGACTGCCTATTTCTGACTTGTTTTATCGTTTTTTGCTCTTTGGAACCCTATACTTATTTGCTGTGTCTCCTGGTTTTGACCTTTTTGCCTGTCTGCTCTCGACCTCCCATTTTGCCTTGCGTCTTTGTACCTTCGCCGTGTCTTTTGGTTTGGACCTCTGCTCGGACTCTGTCTTTGATTACTGTTTTGTGATTTTTGGCTGCATTATAAACTACGATTCACTATTTATTCCGTGTGCACTTGGGTCATTCTGAGTTCTGACAGAAAATTCAAT